TCTACAGAAATTTGGGTGGCCCTATTGATTCCTGATCTCGGTTATATTTTTGTTTTTTGCTAAGTGTGCACATACTTTTGAAACAAAGGAGAAATTTTTCTTCAATAAAAAACTATGATAGCAGCTACGATGTTCTCTCAGAATAAGTGTTCGTAGGTTATCGCACATGTGGAACTGAATGGTAAAGGTCACAGGTCACAAAAACCAATGGTATTCCCAAAAAAAAACAAAATGTTGGGTGTGCACATACTTTTGAAACACACTGTATATAACTAACTCTGTTCAAAAAAAATCCTTAATGCGAAAAAAGTTGGTAGAGGAAATAGTATGGACCGAGTTTCTGCTAAGGAGAGCAGGGCTCAAATCAGATGTTCTTGACTGAGTTCAGAAAGTTCCAGAATGCGGGAAAATGTGGCTAGAGGTACTGAAGAAAGATGTGGCGTGATCTCTGAAGCGGGTCAAAATTCTGTTGCGGAAAATCTAGACACCGTGAAAAAAGGGCAAACGTTAGGAGTAGGTCAACTAATCGGACTCATGCGCTGTGAGTGATGCGTCTTTTTGCATTACTTCATGAACCAACACATCTATAGCCAGATTTCCAGGGATGGTATCAAAAAACTCATGTCTATTTGATGCGTTCTCTCCTATTACGCACGCGTTAGTGCGCCGCGTTACCCAAACCGTATAACATGTATAACCAGGGCTAAAACACTCTGACTACTACTCGACATGCGGTATTGATCAAGATTTAGTTTACAAACAAGTGGCAAGAGCCGCCCCCGGCCGGCGGACTATGAAAGCAGCCTCTGACGCGTGTGTAAGTTGAAGGTTGAAGTAAAGAGGTTTGAGGTTTCTGAACAGAGCTACAGATTGTGCACCGCTCACTTTTAAAACGGTCCGTTCAGTTCACCTCTAGTGGCTCTGACACAGCCCATTTTTTCAGTGGTCTTGTCTGTTGTTCAGAAACTGAATCGGCAAGTTTTGTTCATGGTACTCCCATTTTGATCCATATGCCACCCTTCGTGAACGAGCTTTCCCGAATTCCACTCCGCCTGTGAACACTCATTCCAATTTGACCAGGTCCCTTTCCAAGTGGCACGAGCGAGGGACAGATACAAGCAAGCACCTATGTATGTACTAGGCTGGCCGGAAAGTTCTGAGCGATTCAGTCGGTTTTTTCAACCCAAAATAATTCGGCAAAAAAGCTAGAACAGCGACCAAGATAGTGGCCCTTCTTAGCCGTAACGTCTCTTCATCAACCGGACAGGGCACTGATGCCCTTCTTCCAAAAAGAAATGGTGCGCGACGCAAACCATTTATCTACTACCCACTTGACTTTCTAGCGCTTGCTAGTTTTCTCCCTTCAGAGCAGTCCTGCGGGTTTCAGAAAGTATGGCAGGCATATAGGTAAGGTGAATGTGGAAAGTAGATTAGTCACATTATACCAAACCTTTCCAGCTCACCCATCGGGTGGCATTATCAATGGGGTTCGAAAAATCCCTTGTAATCGGTGTGAAATGGGGGCCCGAAACCCCATCTCTCTCCGTTGCCGACAGAATACTCTTACGTTGACAGCAGTACACTCTGATAGGATCTCATAGTAACACAAGTTTGAGCGAAGAAAAAATAAGCTCATGTCTTTATTGGAGTGCCACGCTTCGTCGCACGCTGCCTTCTTACGTGTTCTGGTAGGCATTGCGATTCAATGTGTTGGTCTCTACACAAAATCTTCTTTTAATCCTGAGCAACAATGAAGTCGGCTGATGAGCGATATTCGCAAAGAGTCCTGCTTTAAAGTGACTCTTGCGTAGAACGTCATGGGTGATGGATTAGTGAGAAGAAATTGTCCTTCCTAGTCCCTGACACTTGAAGGAGGGTTGGTTTGATGGGAGGCTGAAGCACTGTCGGTATTCGAAGACAACAGGTGTTTGCTTCCTCAATTTTCGTCAAACCAAATCTTCTCTCAGAGATCTCTTCTCAGAGCAACCACGAGGAAGATCGTATCTTTTATGGTAAGTGACAACAGAGAGTGCAGTGCTGCCCATCACTCACTATATCTCATTCCAAGCCTGGATGTCGAAGCGATCAGTTTCGTGATGGTGGAGCAGAGGCCTCACTCAATCTCGTCGATGGCACATCGTTCGGTCGATGATTATTAGCTTCGAGCCGCGACGTCCAATACCGATCGGACGTGGTAATGGTCTATTAACAATGCCCTTTACCTGCTATCGTATCTATAGTTCTTCTCTACCGCATTCGGGAGCAACATGCTTTCACATTTGAAAGGCATAACTTTCTAGGAACTTTCCGGACACCGAGCACGGATTGTCGTGGTGTTAGGAGATAGTGGTATTTGGTGGACTATCACACACGCACGGTCCGCGAAGTCGAATGCCTATCAATGCTCGCCTAGAATAACCAAGCCTTACATTCCCGCGGTCGTTTTAGTACATATAATACAATCAGCTGCTCACCGCAAGTTACCGTATGATTTAATGCAGTTCAATAAGGAAGTCGAATGTGAAGGGTGCATCTGTAACTTGAAATTGATTGACGATGGAAACCATTCTCAGCGTGCGATGTTTTGGTTGACTATACTGAATCTAGCATTGGCTCGGGGGTGAAAAACTTTAGTAGCCGAGCTGAGCCGTACTCATTCAAAGCAACATTTTGTTGAGTTCGACTAGAGATCCTTGACCAACGACAGCTCTCAGAGCACAAAACTAAGAGGTACGACACGGTAAATGCAAAATTTTCACAAGTGGTGAGGCTATGGCGGCTGTTGAATTTTAGAAGATTTGTTCTCCATTCTCTACTATGTAATTTGGGTGGCTTTGGATCCTTAAACCGACTTTGTTTTAATTTTTTGATTTCATACCATCAAAATATACCATATTATACCATACCATACCACACCATACCAATCAGGCATATCATTTCTCAATGAAGGCCGAAAAAATGCCTCTTATTTGTCAACAAAGCTACATAACGGTGCGCTAAGGCAGAAATCGTGATAAATGCATGTAATAATATATTCCTTCATAGTTATCAATGAAACAGATTACAGGACTACACACTTATCGAAGACGAGCTCCGTTCCGGCTATCACCCTCAAAACTTCTTCTGCTATTCAATTGATCGAAAATCTAATAAGGATTTTCATGATAGGATAAAACGACTCGCTGTCTGTTTCCCGAACGTCATCATAGTACAAGGTAATAGGAATTATTATGAACCTTAGTACAAAGCAGTTCCGCTAAGAATTAACCACACCAAATCCAAAGAAAAAATACACTTGCAGCCCAAGCTTACACGTGTACTGGGATAGGAGGGAGGGGGTTGCACTGTGGAAATGGCATAAATTGAGCAGCGTAGTGGTAGCTGTGTGAAGCTGATGTTGCGAATCAATTAATGTTGTAAGCAGCATCACATCTGTTGTCTCGTGAATGTCAACAACTTTTTTCCACACATTTGACAGCACTGTGGAAAGTGATTAACACTGAGCAAAAGTAGGTTACATCACATTTAATGTATAGTACCTGATTCATCTACGGATCTCCTTCACTGAGGGTGTTCTCTCACTGTAGGATCCCCAGCCGGTTAGTGACGAGGCTACGTAAGGCGTCCTCAGGTGGCGGATAGGGGAATTAATCGCCGACCAAAAGTCTCCGGTACTTGCCCAGAGACGCAGGTGGATTCAGGGGATGGACTCCTTGATTCTGTTGTGCTGGGTCGATATACCCCCTGTGCGATCCACGCATACGTGTGTGGGGAGTCTGTGAGTGCAGTTGATATCCTGCCCACCGGCTCGGCCAAAAGCTTGCATTCGAGTGACTGGGAAGTATCTGGGAGGCGATTCGGGACCGCCATAAAAAACAAAGCCTCTTGTCCACTTCGGGATATCCTGGCAAGCCCCCGGAGTCAATAGCCCCCACGTCAGAGCCTGGCAAGCTGCACGTTGGGTATCTTCACGCCAAAAACAGTAATAGAAATGGGCCTCATTCCCTTGAACCTGAGGGAGCCCCCAATACTGCAGCGTTGGGTAGGACCGCTCGGGAGAGGCTGCTAAAATTTCAGGGCTGAACCAGGCTGCCCAAAAGGAGAAGGACTAAGATGGCGATCTGTACTTTCAACGCACGGACGCTTGCATCGGAAGCGTGTATAGAAGACCTAATGATGCAAGCTAGGACGATCGAGTACGACGTCATCGGACTGACCGGAACGAGAAGGCATCGCCCGCTACACGCTTTATTTGAGACTGGAGAAGAACTGCTCCTTGGAACATGCGATAGTAGAGGCGTCGGCGGCGTAGGTGTCCTCGTCAATACGCACTTGGCCATGAACATCGATTCGTGCGAAAGCTTAACAACCCGAATCGGACGTTTGCGATTAAGAAAATGTGGNTCCGGCAAGGCGATACTATTTCGCCCAAACTTTTCAGTGCCGCTCTCGAGAATATCATGCGTCATTTGGAATGGGAAGTCTTGGGAGTGAAGGTCGATGGCCGCTATCTGCATCACCTCCGCTTTGCAGACGACATCGTTCCCATAACACCGAACATCGAGCAGGCGGAACGAATGCTGGCCGAGTTTGACAATGATTGTGAAAAGATCGGGTTGAGACCGAACTTAACGAAGACGATGTTCATGAAAAACGGTTTGGTACCTGATGCTCCTTTCACGTTAGACGAAACGAATATCTCCGAATGCTCTAGCTATGTGTATCTAGGTTGGGAAGTCAACGTGATGAACGACCTAGCTCCAGAGCTGTGCAGAAGAAAACGCGCCACGTGGGGAGCATTCAAGAATATGGGGGGAGTAGTGAAGAAGGCAAAGAACATCCGGCTCCGCGCTCACCTTTTCGACGCTGCTGTTCTTCCTGCTTTGACGTACGCCTCAGAGACTTGGATTCTACGAAAGCAGGATGAGCATGCTGTCAGCGTTGCTCAACGCCTTTTGGAAAGGACGATGCTCGGAATTCCCCTGTACACGCAAGTGCAGAGGGGAGTCCGGAGTTCCGAGCTCCGTCAACGAACGAATCAGGGATGCCGTTGACTACGCCAAGAAATCGACGATTAGGTAGGCCGGACACGCTATGCGATATAGTGATGACCGTTGGACCGGGACGGTTGCTGACTGGATCCCTCAGGACATCAAAAAAACTCCAGGAAGGCCGCCGACGAGATGATCAGACTTCTTCACGAAAGCTCTGAACGAAAGGAATGTTGAACCTTGTGTCCCTGAAGCGAGGACGATTCACTGAACCACTCTGGCTCGTGCGAGGTAGTCGATGATCAGGTGACAGGTGATACAGGTGATACCTGATTCATCTTCCCGATGTGGACGTGTGTTACAATATAAAGCTTTGTCACCGGAACATTAGGTGCTCACTCTGGTCTCCAATTTGAGCCGTAAAAACTTGATTCAAGATTGATTGCGGAAAGCTTTCATCCCCACACTCCGTGACTTCGTTTTTATGGGCTGATCTTCCCTCCTAAGGTCTTCTTTCAGCATCTTGTTTCATTGAAAATATCGATATTGTGATTTTTTAGAACTACTGGCTGCTAAATTCTATTACCAACTGTGTCTCTTAAGCTGCGCCGTGGTCTTCGAGGAGAGCAATCGTTAGCATTATAGTGTCAAAAGTCAACATGGAACCATAAGGGATCGCCTCGCTAGCTATCCGAAATCAACCTAGCTCCCACATTAGACAAGGGGACAGCCCACAAGGGCTGCTAAAATCTCAGGGCCTTAACTGGCTGCCTAAAAGGAAATCACCGAGACCGTTATCTGTACTCCAAACGCACCAAAGCATCAGATGCATAGGATTATCAACGTCAAGGAAGGGGTTCTGCAGGGCGTTACCATTTCGCCTAAACTTTTCAGTGCCGCTTTCGAAAAGATCGGCGTTGCGGCGTTTGGAGAGACAACTCGGGTTTGAAGGCCAACGGTCACTCCTGACATTATCGTCCATTATCATCCACTAAAAACTTGTTTTGTTTCTTCATCAGCTGAGCAACTTGATTAGTCAACAGGATCTTTAAGAGGTTGTCATCAAGGAAGTCCACCGATGACACCATTATCAGCGTCGTTATCTATGACTCCTCTCACATTCATCATCATAAACTATCAGCCGAGATTTTCTGACTGTCAATGGCAAAATACGTTCTGTCAATGATATCGGAATAAGATGATGTGATCACTTTTCGAGGCGAAATCTCGATGCGCAGTAACCTAATAGCAAGGAGTCAAAGGCCTTTTGTTTTTCTTATGGCAATTTTTTGAGTGTTGCACCAACTGGGCTGGGCTAGATGTTTCACAATACTTATATTAAAGAAAGACTTCTTAGCGGCACTAAAGCAGTTAAGAGCTCCGATAGTTTCTCATGAACTATTCCTTAAAACTTTATGTATGTTTTGGATTTTATTTAGGTAAATCACAAATATGTCACTTATTGGGGGGATCTAGTTACTGGTTCAGCAGCGTATTGATGAAACCAGCGAGAAACTAAAAAAAAATGTTTTCAGAGGAATTTGACGTTGACAATGCCGGGCACTTCATGAATCACGCCTTTTACAAATGTATGCAGTTACTGGCAACGAAATCCGGATGGGGATATCTTTTACTGCTTCAGGTAATCTAGAAATACGGGAGAACTGTTATTATGTATTTAACGCTAATGAGCCACTCACAATCTTATTTCGAATTTTAAAGGCGCAGCTGAGGGATTCTCGCGCTATATTTTGCTTGAAAAATTCTACCGGATAGTATGAAAACATCATTTTCATTTGAAAAATGTCATTTTTTGTGTCATTTGTCTTGATGGCACGGGTGTAGAAGGAGGGTGAGATGCATTAAATGATTCTCTCACCTGGATGAATGATGAAGGATGAGGTCAGGTGTTGTGATAGTGTTAGTAAGGAAGGGCGAGTAAAACCAGGGTAAAATCTGAATTTCAGTAAAGGAACATTAGTAAGCATGGGCACAAAAAAACCCCATGTAGAATGAGTGGCAAGTGCCATACTACATACTTTACTTCCAATTGGATACCTCAAACAAATTGATTTTTTTTTTGTCGAAAAGTTTTACAACCTCTGCAGACATCTTTTCGGAAACGAAAATTTTAATCGAATTATTCAATTCTTAGCTTATTCCCTAATTTCTTCTACTTTTACCATATTATTTTTGATTAATAAGGCATCAAAAGCTTGCTTTTCGAATTCCTGTTCCTTGGAATACGCATATTTCGTATGAATAGAGCAGAAGTATTACTTTCTGTGATAACTAAAGGATAAAGGATAAAGCTTTTGGCGTTAATCAATCCCGTCTGAGGGATGCTCCCCGCACTCGACTCCCTTTCAGAATAGTAGTGGCGTAATGAGTGCGTATGTGGCCTATACAATGACTTGCGGTGGCCAGCCGATGTACAAGTCAGTGCTTTTATCCTCCCAGACGAGTCTGGTACCAATTCACCGAGCCCGGAGGGATGGTTGGCCTAGGCGGGCATCGATGCAGGATTCAAACCCCTGACCGTGCGTGTAATATAGTGCACCACTTGCCACTACACCACCTCCGCCCTTCTGTCTCTGATAACTGCTGACAAGAATACTGAAAACATTAACACTTCAGTGCATTAATAATTCAAATTATAGAACCATGATGTTATCACGAAATCCCCATATGAGATGGTGGAAATCTATAGACTGCTCGGAGGCGCTAATGATGTGGAGATAACGCCGTGTCCGGAAGGGCGTTGGAATCACTCAAGAGAGTGGGATGCACGTTCGTTGAAGCTGTTCGTAAATGGTTTGTGGTTTTATTCATATTCACAAGATCGTCTGCTTTATTTCGCGCTATACTTGATCCTTCTGTGAAAAATGGCTCTGAAGAACTTCTTCACCATTGCCTAGAAAGCATCAAGTAATGATTGTACTAAAGCAAGAAATATGGCGATGTCCAATGAGTGGACTAGAGAAAGACGTCTTTATTTTCTGCATAATTAAGCACTTACTTCATTATTTCGTTCTGCTGAGCCCTTGAACTGGCCATACGCAATGATTCAGTTATCGGAAGATATTCAGCTTACTTAGCAGAGGTGTCCTCTCCGGAATGCATGAAAATGGCGTTTAAGACAAGTTCGTTTTTCATAAACATTGGTGTCCTTGTAAAGCGCAGTGGAAAATTGAGATATTACATATGGTGGTGACATTGTTAGACACTGTTTCCTTTCCGTGCTTTGTACTCATTCTCGTGAAATAGTGTGGTTCGAGTCGTAGTGCTGTTGCTGAACTAATGAAGTATTTTTCGTTTTGGTTGCTGAAGATCTAGTTGATCGCTTCTGATTAACAGGGTCGTAAGCTTACTTTGAGTGATGTGGATTATAATTTTCTAAACTCCCACGACTACTCAAAGAGTTTCGTGACTGCAGTCCACGTGTCACTTGTTAAAAGGCGACAACTCTAGTTTATATTGAAAGGGCCTTGGAACCATAGACGCTGGGAAGTGGGATTCTTTGGTCCGAAAAACACCGGAGGACTAAGTCATTGCTAATGGCGCTGTGGATGTCGCGGCTAAGTTCATAGAAAGTTGGCGTCACCTTCCTAACATCGTTGAATCCATCCGCACTGCCATATATAGAAGCTGATCAAAACAGTCATCGACCACACAAAGTCTGAAAGCCGGCTCATGATCGACTCTCCTTTTTGGCACCATTACGAACGCCGACGCCCTCTGACTACAGTCGGTGCGTGCCTGTCAACTGCATCATGCATAGTGGTACCAAGACCGCTTGAACGCCAGGCTTATGTGACACTCCACAAGACTCATTCATTACAAAGAGGGATGAAGATACCAACCCGTAGCTACATCACTCGGTCAACACTGGATCTCGACGTTGCACAACTCGTCAAGAACTGCTGGAAGCGTTTTACAAGCGCAAAAGAAACGCGCACGGCTGAGTCGAATTCTCTGCAGTAATAATTTGAGCGTCATATATGCATGTGATGAAAAACCTGATTGAGATAGCCAGATTCCTTAGAACAGCTGATTACAAACTCATCATATTAATAGAAAACATGCAGATTCTTAAAACAATCGAGATCTACACAATCTGCATGATGTACTTTTTTCGCAGCCATTTCAGGAGACGCTCTTCTTTTCGACAAGATAATTGAATTTTTTGCCTCTCATTTTCCGATACGTGATCAAACGGAGTGTTTTAGAAAGCTCGGCGTCACCGACACAGCTGAACGCGACTCTTAAGTTTGCAAAAGGTGCAACTCAGGCGTCCCTCTCTCGAGCTGCTGTGGAGTGGCTAGTCAATACGGTCAATCTCACGACTCTTATTTCTCAAATCAATGAACAGGTAAACATAATATTGAACTTAATATGAGCAAACTTGCAGTCTCATTGTTAGTCTAAAAGTGCTGTCTTAACTTCCTTATCTTCACCCATGCCATAAACCTTTCATTTCTCTGTTATTCTGAATTTTTTGAATATTCTGGTATTCCAAATTTGTTGAATGTGGAAGGGAGGGCGGTGCGACACAACACATACTCTGTTTATACGAGGTGACGAGCCAAACAACGGCTCCAGCTTGTTGTGGAGAGTGAAAGGGTGTATTGATACCCTAACCAGGGTGTGGGACCTTCTCTCCGGAAGACGTGTCGCGCAGCACCCGAACGCACGCGGTCGCGCTTCATGAAGGGAAGGTTTTAATTTTGGTGTAAGGGTACAGTAATAACCGCACTACCATTGCCGCTTACGGAATTTGCCACACTTCTTCTTTCATAATCTGCTCACATTGACCCGCTTAATAGCATTGCGAAATTTTAACGTTCTAACGTCATCTCAGCAAATACACCACTGATAAGAGGTCAATCCATCAATGCCTTTGAGTTTTCTTTTGCAGCCATTTGGTGTAGACGAAATTCTCATACAATCTTTACAAATCACCGACGAATTGGACATGCCTGGAAGATTCACTTCTGAGTGCTTGAAACAAGGCAAGAATACGGACTTTATCAGTAGGTGAGTTCAGCTATTATACAAGTTACAACTCTTTAAGAGTCATTGCGAAGCACTTGTCTTTCTTTATCTCTTGAGGGGCTGACTGCTNAATTGGACATGCCTGGAAGATTCACTTCTGAGTGCTTGAAACAAGGCAAGAATACGGACTTTATCAGTAGGTGAGTTCAGCTACAAGTTACAACTCTTTAAGAATCATTGCGAAGCACTTGTCTTTCTTTATCTCTTGAGGGGCTGACTGCTTCTTTTATGAAATGTTTACTAAAAGGCTTGGTTCACGGTAATGTTGGGCCGTCCAGTTTCAGAGGAATAATGGAAGTGATCCTTCAGAATAGGGCATGAGTTGCAATGAAAACGCTGAAATCGCCATATCCAGAGCCGTTTCGGGCTTTATAGAAGTTGTAAAATTAGAGATTGATCGAGGCTTTCACGACGAATGCTGCGACAAGATGGAAGGAGTATTTGGACGAGCCTTCCTAATGTGTGCCATTGCGTACAGCTGGCTACAGCCTAGTGCAACGTGTATTCGCGGTGCGAATGGTGCAACCTCTACAGTCTACACAATGCCGTCAGAAATGAGCCCCTTTGGCATATAAGTTATCTGAGCCGGCCCTGGGGCCATTATCGCACCCTTTGCAGGCCGTATTTTGGGGTCACAGGTAAATCCTGAGAAGAAATCCCGGAATCATTCCCATCATGAACTGTGCTTTTAAGGCGAACTAAATGCGAACTGACTTAATGAATAGCAGCAATTAATAAGCTGGCATCCCTCCTCACTCACTCTATCCCTTCTCCGCCNCCCCCCCCCCCCCCCCCCCCCCCCCTCCCCCTCCCTTCCCCCTACGCCAACAAACTAATTTTTTTTTTCGGTTTTTTTAAAATACAGTATCTTCATTAGGTGCAGCTGCAAGCCAATTTTACTTCAAGCATTGTCGAATAAAGCTACCGTTTTCATTTCATAATCAGTGTTAGAGGCTCATGTCTTCTACAAAGCGGTACACCAGATTGCGGCACTCGGAAATTTTAGCAAGATTGTATCTGCCTGCATTCACCCCTCATCACATCGATGACGACACTCCACAGGATGGTGTGATACTGATCGTGTAGCTGCTGTAGAACTTACCAGGATGTCTACATTTTAGAGCATATTGGATGCCCTGGCCTGAGGAAGAGCTCTTCCTCTTTAACAGGACCGCGGATCTTTCCTCAAATTGAAGAAAGATATCTCGCAAAATTTTGCGATTCTTTTCATTATCTTGTTCTGAACGACGGTTTGCAAACTTCATAACCTATTTGTTCACATGGTTGCCCTTTACGTCATGTCCTCAAAATCTTGCTCAGTATTACTCACGTGAAGTTGCGTCATACAGTGCAGAGCTTGGAATGCATGGAACCTAGGCAGTATGCAGTTTGTGCGATAACAATTGCCAGTATCTCACAAGGTTGGCAAGTTATGGAGACAACTTAATGGGTCTCGAATTGCTCGAACCAGCACTTGTGCTACACCATGCTCTCTATCCATACATCGAGCTTTTTATCCCTTACAATACCACCCGGCAAGCACAAGTTCTGATTTTGGTCCCACCCCATGCCGCAGTTTTTCCAATACTCTTCAACATCCTTGGACTTTCGAATCGCGTTATGCTACAAATTGAGAGCGGTCAACAAAACGCCAAGTCAAAAATGCCAACACCATACTTGTCGCCCTTCTTATCCAGCAACGCAGTTTCTTTAATTTCCTCGAATTGAATACCTTGCATTTGGCGGATGGAATAGGTCTTTTTACATCGATATCGAAATTCCTTCAGATGTTCAGTACCTGTCAAGAAAGGGTATTTACGATTTCCCATCGACGTATGCCATGCTAGATGCCGCAGTGGCCTGAGAATTGATTCTCGGATTGACTCTCGCTGAAGTTATTCAGAATCACTTCAGGTTCAAATAACTGATAAGAGAGGAAGTGTCTGAGGAGCTCGGGGGTGGAAAATCTGGCTACCATTTTGAATGTACCACCCTACAACCTAAAGCATCGGCTGGTTTGCAATCGACTCTACAACCGCTCATGTACCACCCCTAATTGTGTGGTCTGCCCATCCGGCAGGGGAGGCGACTGTACAAACGTAGGGGTGGACTACAAGATCACATGTTGCAGCTATGGAAAGGTGTACATCGGCGAAACATCAAGACCACTATGCGTACGCCTCAAGGAGCACTTAGAGGGCAAGTCAGGTCACGCATGTCAACTGCCTTAGGCGCCCACAGGGTGGAAACACATCACGAAGCCTACTTCGACGTCACGGCCGAGGTAGAATCGCAAACACCCTCACGAAAAATCCTTGAGGCCTTCTGGATCCAGGTCACTAGGCCAAAAATGAACCGGAGGGAAGAATGCCTCCCAATAACGCGGGAGCTGAGGCCGTATATGAGGTTGCCTCCCACCAGTGAGTCTGAATCACATCCAGTCCGAAAAGCTTACTGGATCGCTGCTGGCTTCTAAGTGTTCGCGAAGATCGGGCCGATCTACGGTAAGTGGCCAACTTACACTGCGTGATAACCTCTGATGTATCGAATTTCCGTAGGGTAGTTGAGGCGTTTGNTCGGGTAGTCATAAATTGCTTCGATCTCTCCAGGCTCTAAAGAAGGCGATCCACGCCGAAACGTAAGCCGAAATAAAGGATTTTATCAACCTCGTCCGAGTTCAAGCAGAGAAAAACACTGATAATAGACTAGCCTATAAGGACAAAGGGCGGAGGTGATGTAGCGGCGAAAGGCGCGCTTCACGCACGCATGGTCACAGGTATGAATCCACGATCGATATCCGCGTGGGAACACCAAACCTTCCACCCCTTTTGGGTTGGTTAATTGGTTCCAGACACGTCTGGGAGGAAAAAGCACTGACTTGTACATCGGCCAGCCACCACAAGTCATTGTATAGGCCACATACGCATTCATTTGACCACTACCTTTCTCAATAGAAGTCGAATGCGTGGGCGCATCCCTCAGACGGGGTTGATGAACACCCCAATATCCCATTGATTTATCTTTTTATGATGGTAAAAGCGCTGACGTGCACATTAGCTCCCCACCACAGTTCATTGTGAAGTCCATATGCGCATTCAAGTGCCCCTACGATGTTGCATCGATTTCGATTGTTGGCAAATCCCAAAAACGAGATTGCTTGGCGTCAGGAGATTTTGCCTTTTTTGTCCTCCTCTGTCTGAGATGAATCTTTTCATACGCTCGCGAGGCAAGCTAAGCGAGGCTTTAGCTGAAAAAGGTTTTGGAGTTACGGTTCATTAACTCAGCGACCACATTGGATGCATTGAAAAAAAAATGATATAGTGCTGACGAGACGAAGAATCAATCCCACCGAGGACTATAGAACAAGAACGACATCAGTCATATGCTATCTTCAGCTGTTTATATTGTGGAACGGTGACAAGCACACTGTAACTACATACAGTAGCGCTCAAAAGTCTTCGGTGAAATGCTTCTTCAGTCAGACTTTTTAGTCGTAACTCCTTTCCTACTGGATCTAATCCCGCGAAATTTTATATGTGTAGCATGGGTGATTGTGAATATTTAACGCTATTGAACTGCAATCTATCTGATCATGTTCCAGATATCCCAAAGAGCTTGAACAAAAGATCAACTGGAAATAGGGATGATGGTCCTTCTAGAATCTCTTTCCTTTTTGTCATGTCTAAAGTGAACGAGCAGTATTGCCGAACACAATAGATGAGAAAAACGCACATAAGGTNTTTCCTACTGGATCTAATCCCGCGAAATTTTATGTGTAGCATGGGTGATTGTGAATATTTAACGCTATTGAACTGCAATCTATCTGATCATGTTCCAGATATCCCAAAGAGCTTGAACAAAAGATCAACTGGAAATAGGGATGATGGTCCTTCTAGAATCTCTTTCCTTTTTGTCATGTCTAAAGTGAACGAGCAGTATTGCCGAACACAATAGATGAGAAAAACGCACATAAGGTGCGAATAAGTGCAGACGTCAACAACTTTTATTTTAGCAAAAACTGCTCCCGCAATAGTCACCTTGCTCTAACAGTGGATATTACAGCTTTGCAGTCAAATTGTGTTGGGTAGGGTGGAATATGCTTTAGTTAAACATACCCAAATTTCGCGCGAATTGGTCTATTAAGAAAAAGTTTTGAACGAAAAAGCGTCGAAGCTTTTCACCGAAGACTCTTGAGCGCTACTGTAAGTATTGACAGTGCGGTACCAAAATACAAACGTATGGCCAAAGTGTTAACGTGGAACATCGACCATCCACCATGTGCATTTTTCGAATGGGCAAGGTCGAAGTTCCTGAACCATCGAGATGCTTTCCTCCAAATAAACTAGCGCACTTTACTATACACAGCCAATTTCTGGACTTTTGTTTTCTAGAATGTCGCATTGGATGTATGGTGGACAAGAATTTTGCCGATCTCGGAAAATTCGTCGAGCAATCTGTGTACTTGGTATAGAAGATTTTCAGCTACTGTCGAAGTATCCAACTGTGATGGCGAATAAAGTAAGTTTTGGTCGTAAGGGTCTATCATCACTTTTGCGCCTACAGGCGACTCAAGACTTGGCTAGCGGAGATTCTTGTTCACGATAACAAATTCGTTAGGAGCAATTGGGCTTCTCAGACGAAGGGGTAGCGTATAAAATACAAAATAACAAAATAAAATATAAAATAAAATAAATTAATAACCTATTATGCGGCGAATATTATATAAAATGATATTTCGTCTAATCGTATAATTTCTTTAGAACAGGCAATCAGCAAGCAAGAAATTTATACTTGTTTGTGCCCTTAAGACTGCAGATTGAACATAGAACATAGGTTGAACACTTTTGACAAATTCCTGAAGAATGGTAAGCCATGGATAAAGCCCTAAGCCTTGGGGAATATCGATGCCTTCTTGTGCATCAAAGGCACCGTTCACTCGAAGTCTCTCGATTACGCATCGAGTATGCCTACCTCAATTGATCGGGACCTTGCTTTCAGTGAGCGAGGAGTGCATATAAATAGAACCTCCTTTCAGAGTAATTTTGTAAACCTTGTTCAAAAAGGTTCTAGAATCCACAAAAGTGGTTAACGAAAGAAAAGTGGTAAAACATTCATAGTGGAGAAGATTTCGTTGTTACGAATTCTCTTTTGCTCAACTGGTCCTGAGAAAATTATGATTAGCAAATAAGAACGTAATCCCACTCTCAAGAATTTCGCTTGGTGAGCTGCAGCTTCCGCTTATGGGTTATTGCTATCACATCCATCAAACTCTACAACTCTTTTTGATTTAGAGTTTTGTTCACTGGTGCACGGATAGCACAAGTTCAGAATTGAGCCCCGAGGCCGAAGTTTTATCCATAACGCGCCGACCTCGTCAGAGTTTCTGCAACTTATTTTTAATTTTATGTAGAGCTGTATCTCACTCGATAGCTTTGAAGTTGTCTTTTCACCCTTACTACACCAGGTAATTCACGATAAGCCCTATCTCCAGAAAAATATTTCAAGATTTAATGATCAAAAAGATAGTAGTCCAGAACCAAAGTCAATTTTCTCTAGTTTTTCTGGTTATTATGATGGAGACAATTGAAAAAGTCACCTTGCAGATGTTGCCGGATTTCGACTACGCTATTGTTGACTGTATTCATGAAATGATCTTCAATCGAACGTTTCTAAATCAGATAGACTATCCGCTGGACTCGAATTACTACAGAAATATGGTCAATGTAAAGTTCACCTTTTTTTCATACTATGCATGTACATACTTTGAACAACTTTCTATTCCCGTAATTCATATACCATATACCTGTCTGCAACTCAGAAACTCTCGCCCAGGTCATCCTTAAGAGAAATTTTGGCACACTAGGTGAAGTGCAGCCATGTGAGCAAGGTTACGGAGTGCAATGGACCACATCCACACTGTCAAAAGTCTTATTGGAGTATAACGAGATTACAGGATAGCTGACGTTCTTCGATGTGAAGGCAACTTGAGGCACTGTGGGGACAGAAGCGCGCGATGTGAAGCCTTGGGCGGTCAGGGTGTTCATACTCAATACATAAAGATATCGTGACCCGTACGACGGCTTTCAAATCAGGACTTCTCCATTACAGGAGAAAGTCATTGTCAACGTGTAGAGTCGCTCAAGATTTCCAGTGCCGTATCACCTAGAATGGGGAGACCTGATAGGGAAGGCTGACGGCCATTACTTACACCGTTTCGGCTTTTCGAACGACACCGTGCTTTTCGAACAACAAGTAGGCAAAATGAATGCTGACCGAATTCGACAAGCTTGTGAAACTATATACATGACTATATATATATACATACCTTTCCTTAATTTAAATGTTTCTTGAGCACAATGTTCACTGAATTGGAAGTCAACAATTAGAAGCTTTTGTAAGGTTGTAAAAGAGGGACACAAACTGTCCCAGGCTCCTAATTTCCTTTATTTTCAGCCGCTCAAGCGGAGATCTCTATGTATTCCTTAGCAAAAACTCTTCACAGAACCGTCTCTTGAGCGGGTTAGATAATGAATATTGCCCATGGAAAAGTCTTCTCTCACCGTATCTGTATTGATCCCCGCAACTAATCTTCTTTTTGGATACTAGTGATACTTGCCATAACTGAGTTTAACGTTCAACCTTCTAAATTGAAGTAGAGCTGCAGATAAATATAAAGAGCGAATCTAAAAGACAGCTCAACATGAAAGAAAAACTTCCTCTCCCACCGGTACCAATGAAATAATGGAATGGAGATGGGGCGAAGAAATACTTTTTGCTACTCAAAATTTTATTTCGGTTTTTACCTGCTTTCAATCGTAGAGCCCAAAAAATTGGGCTTTTGTGAAGGGACATTGAAGGAGCATACATGAATAAGAAGCTGGGTCGAAGAAAAGCAGCGATATGGTGTGTCTCAGTATCCCAACAAAACAGGTCTTACAGGTAAACAAAAGAACACAAGCAGAATACAAGCACAACATTTGAACTGTTGCGGAAGAGCTGCATCCCAGAATCCTCTATCAAAGCACAGGTGACAAAAACATAAACAAACAAAGAGTCATATTCTGAGGATGTAAACTGCTAAGGGGGCACTGACTTCTATGAGAAGTGTTACACGATGTTGAGTAGTGGTGCAAATGACGCATTTAACTATTTTTTTTTTCATTTCATGTTGAATTCCATACACTGTCAACTCTCTGAACTTGATTTAGCGGCTCTCACAACAATATTTCAGGTGAAGTATCATCAAAGCCGCATGAATCACGACACAAACTACAAACTGGAATGTGACTCCAAACAAATTGAGTGGCAACAATATAGATATCCTTGAATTCTTAATGCAGCTTTAGCGGGCTCAGAATGCTCACTGGATTTATTCTGAAGGAATTCTACGCACTCTTTGTTTCTTCAGAAGCAACCATTTTCGACTCTCTCTTAATCTTAGATGGTATCTTGATGTCTCAGTGTTTTTCTCTGAAGCCTCGGCCAAGATGTTACAATATTTATTGGGCTAACCGTTTCGGCCAGTTGCCATCGTCAAAGCCTAGAAACCAATAACATTTGAGATTTATCCCAGCCAAACGACGTTAGAACCTCGGTTTAGGTCAAGTGTGGCCCACAGGCCTAGGTTCAGAGAAGAACAGCTATGACTCACCACTCTCATCTTTTCCTAGATTCGTAAGTCAGTTTTTGCCTTGACAAAACTGGAATATTAGACTTAATCGAGATGATTATTTCACAACAGAAATACCTATTTACCACTTTTTGGTATCCCTATGATTGTGAAACCTTAACTCTGCCGTATTGCTCAGCCGTGAAATGTATTAGGATGACCTTAAGTATCAGAAAAGCTTTAGTGAATATAGCATCTCTATTGCTCGCTTTACTTCATAGTTGACTAACGTTAGAGGAGATGACACCAATTTGAAGCGAAGAATTCTTCTGTGCATGTACATATTTTTAAGAATGTCATAATAAATAAACTACCCCTTCTATGAGAATGGGTTTCGAAACACTCGCTGAATTGCTGAAACACTCGCTTAATCTTAGCATGGTATCTTGATGTCTCAGTGTTTTTCTCTGAAGCCTCGGCCAAGATGTTACAATATTTATTGGGCTAACCGTTTCGGCCAGTTGCCATCGTCAAAGCCTAGGAACCAATAACTTTTGAGATTTATCCCGGCCAAACGACGTTGGGACCTCCCCACGCACAATCAGCTAATCGCCTAGTGATGAGGCGATGTTTTTCTCCCACTCTTTTTTCCTCTGTTTTTTTTGCTGCCGCGATCCCTTATTCAATTTCCTACTCCTAGAGGCTCAAAAAGGTGAGCCATTTTTGCTGATACTAGGGTTTTTTGTTTATTTATGCTTATAAGCGAATGAATTTTTGCTTACCATTGTCTGTTCTTCGCACCGGGACCCACACGCGCGCAGTGAAACACACTATTTAGCTCGTCCGGACGCCCCACCCTTCTTCATCTTTCTGGTTTCATTCACGTCCAGCCCCCTTTTTAACGTTTTTTCGAAGCCTTTTTCCACTTTGGAAATACCTATGCACGCAGTTTCTTTACCTCAGTCGCTCTAGTTTCGATCTTGTCTTCTATTTTTCATCATAATCTGGATTACCCGAAATTATGTGAACGGTGCCTTTAATTTAGATACAAGACATGAGGCACAATGCAGGACACTGCATGGCATTCAATGCATGATAAATAACTCCTACGCCTATGATCACGTTATAGTATGTATGGGGTGAGTGCTGCCATCAATCTTATAAATGAAAGGCTTTCATTGAAGGCTCGTTTCTCTTCGATCTTTGAACTTACTCGTTCAAAGACGCTTCAGTAGCTCAAACCAGTCGTAGCAACTTCTATTACTGTTCAAAGTTTTATACACAGTATCATCCGCCGTCCCTTTTGTTATTGATTTTCTCGAGCGTAACTCAGTAATGCATCCACGCCGTCCATTTGGCAAGTGATAGTAGCTGCGTGAGCTTTTGTGAAGTCGTCAAACTCTCACGCTGGTGACCAACGTAATCGTTTGAATTATACGTATCGCCCTCCTCCAACGGTCATTATGAAATCGCATGACGTGTCCAGCAAACCTGATCTTCCATTCTTTGGGGTAAGTGGCGGCGACATTTATCTTCGTTTGTGGCCGAAGCTCGGAAATCTGGTTTTCTCATTGCCCTGAAGTGTGGGCGTGGGCAAAGAGGAATCCAAATTGTGAGCAGTCTGAGCTCCATCATTGTCACAGCGCGTTTAGTAACAATGACAGTATGCTCAACTTGTTCTCGCCGGCCTGAACACTCGAGGCTTATGTCAAAGCAGGGGAGATCGCCGTGTCGAAAAGGTAAACAAAGAGTCGCAAGTTCTTGCCAATACCTCAATCTTGTTTAATGCTCACAACGCCACGCATTTCCTTCTGCTCAGCTCCGGAAGTGACGTTTCGTTCATCGTAAAGAGCGCATCAGGTCCCAATCCATTTCTCCTGGACATCGCATTCGCCAGGTTTGAGTCAATTTTTCCATAAGAAATTTCGAATTCGACCAGCATTCGTTCCCCCTGCTCGACGTTACAAACACGATGGCGACTGCAAAGCGGAGGTGATGGAACTAGGACCATCACCCGAGTCATCCCTTTCCGAATGACGCATGTTGTTCTCGAAGAAGGATCTGAAAGGGTTGGCCGAGATTGTAGCACCCTGCCGAACCTTTATCTTCAAGCTGACAGTGAATTTCTTATAGAGGGGCGAGGCTTATCGAAACCCTTCTTCAAATCAATTAACAATTTCTCATCGACGTGATGGCATGTCGAATTCCAGTAGAGATAGAAAGCTCCGAAGGAGCGATATATGCCTCTCGCCTCGACAGCAGCTGCTGCTTTCTCTTTTTACAATCCTCCTTTATCGGAGAGATGTCTCTTTTCTACCTATCGAAGGTTGTCGAAGGGATCCGAGTAAAGTCGCAGATGACCTTTTCCATTTCCCTCCGGAATGCAGCAACTGTTTCATCAGGACGACGAAGGCAAGTAATCTCGGTCTTGTTATTGGCGAGGCTCCGAGGAGCTCAACGAATGCTCTTCCCTGCCTCGGCTACTTCACCCATAATCGCTGCTCTTCTCTATATCAGATCTTCCTTTATCGATTCTTTGCGCAACTTTGCATGTTCGAATGCTTTTGGTTGTTACATGAGCTGCAATTCCTCGCTGGCGCGTCGGCTCGATAGTCTTCAATAAGAGGCTTTGTGGCAACTAAACTCTTTGCTTCCTAAAAATTAATGAAAATTTTCAACGAGCCGATTGTAATCTTCATCAATGTGGTCCTTAAGTAAGGTAATCTCCCCAAGCTCTTCTCCCATGTTCTTCTCCTTGATTTTGGCTTACCTTGCTGATCTTGTAGCTTCTTTTTGTATAAACAGCAGAGCGTTGACAAACGAACACACTGAAAATCTATGGGAACAGAATGATAGCAGCTGGTAGATGGTGCTGTAACACAGCAACATTTAATTCAGGAGTTCAACTCATTAGCGCAACGTTGAACAGCACCACTACTGTAGGGATGCTTCGAAACATAAGAATTGACTTCATAGAAGAAATGTAAACCTTCGTGGTCTGGGTCTTTAATACAATCCTAGTGATTGCTTGACTCTAGACTAGGGAAAGTCTCAACTCAAGACAGGAGTTGCAAGTGGTATACAAAGTGTAGTTTTCATCAAGCACTGCTGACATCATCTATACAAGTATTCATTCTTTTTATTAGGAAGCGCAAGTGATTTGGCACGCGTGTCTCATGAAATCTGAACAAATGTCGAGCAGGTCATGACTCACTGAGAGGCTTGATGTAATGGTTATTGCAATATCCTCCGAACACGAATTTCGAAGAGGCTGTTTCTTCCGAGTACGTACTATAAAGGAACTATTGCTTTGGAAACGGCACTGTTAGGGCGAAAATCCGTACGAGCAGTACGTAAAATCAGTACGAGCCCTATGATTGTTAGAGCACAGCTAGTGGTGACATGATGTGGAATTAAACAGCAAACTAACGAAAGCGTTAATACCCGAGAGCTAATCGAAAGTTAATGAAAAAACAGTGAATCCGGAAAATTTAGCCCTTGATTCGCTCCCTTCATTCCTGATAATAAACCGGGAAATATGTCTAGGTGAGATTTTTGCTGCGCAAGTAGAGAGTCGCCTGAATAAGCAGCTATAGTTCATCTAGGTTGCCACGGAACATGGTCTTATTGACTTCTGAAGATTGTCTGTATGATACGCTCGTTTATAAATCTTGAACGCCGTAGCTTTTTAAAACCAGCACCAGTCCATCACTCCGCCCTTTCTAGGCCACATTTCGGCCCAGTAGCGCAATATGACCAGCCCTAGTTTCGAAGTTCTGCTTGCTGTTCTTTCTTGCAGAAACCATTTCTCACAGCTTTGCCAGTAACAATACAGATAGTGACGACTTCCTGATGATCTTCATAATTTTCAGTGGCT